CCGACTCCCAAAATCTTGGCCGTTTGTCCGTTGGCAACCGTGAGTACGCCTTCGTCGCGCAAGTTGATGTCCACAAACTTGGACTTGCCGTTGCAGATGTGGTGGGTTGCACCACTGTCGATCGCCCATGTGCCGTCGAACTTCTTACCCGTCGACACTCCACACGCTGTCGACATGGAGACCGCAAACGCGACGTAGTCGTCGTCGTCGTCGTTACGCCAGTCGATATTGTTGGCACCGCGGCCACCTCGACCGCGTCGTGCACTTCCTCGGTTTTCATCCTTCTGCTTGGTCCAGCACTTGTCAATAACGTGCCCCAGTTTTCCGCAGTAATCACACCGGCGAGTTTCACGCTCGGCGTTGAAGGCCTTCGCTGCTTCCTCGATCTTCACCGCCGCAGTCTTCTCGCCTTGTCGCTTGATATGCTCATTCGTGAGCACCTTCACCACATCTTGCGTTCGCAGCTCTGCATTGCTCATCTCCAAGTTCAGCACGACGTTCTCGTAGCTCTTGGGCAGACTGCGCAGCAAGCAGATCGCCACATCCTCGTCCTCCATCTTGGCGCCGATACTGCTGAGCTTGGCGCTGATGTTGAGGACCTCGTTGCAATGGTGAAGGATATTTCCGCCTTCTGCCATCTCCATGCTGAAGAGCTGGCGCTTGAGGTAGAAAAAGGAAGGTCGTTTGTGCACTAGATGATAAAATGCAAAGTGATTGATTTATTGGAGCTTACTCTGTCTTACGTCCTAGTCTGCATCCAATCATGTGGTGCATCCAGTCACCAACACTCTGGACTCGTCCAATCATCCTGTTCGTCCAATCATCTGTTCGTCCAATCATCTGTTTGCGCATACATCCGTTTGCGCAATTGACTTACCGTAAACATCGCGGGGTCCTTGGAAACCGGTTTTACTGGTATGCCGAAGCTGGACGAGACGCCTTCTTGACAACACTCCCACTCGACTCGACCGCGCTTGGTGGCTTGATACCCAGCTTGTTGCGAAGATATTCGAACTGCACCGCGGTGATCGGCTTGGTCATTAGATCCGCCTTCATATCCTTCGGCGAGCAGTACTGCAAGACTTCCTGGCCATCTTCAACCTTCTCGCGCACGAAGTGGTAGCGAATGTCGATGTGCTTGGTGCGCTTGTGAAACTCGGGGTTCTTGGCCAGCGCAATCGATCCTTGATTGTCCTCGAAAATCATGACAGAATCCTCGTTCTTCATTTCGCCGAGTTCACACAGGAATGCCTTGAGCCAGATCGCTTCTTGAGCAGCTTCCGTTAACGCCATGTACTCCGCCTCCGTCGATGACAGCGCCACCGTGCGCTGCTTCTTGCTTCTCCAACTAATGCATCCGCCGTTCATCATGAACGCGTAGCCGCTTGTACTGCGTCGAGTCTCGACGTCACCAGCCCAATCCGCATCCGAGTAGCCTTGGAGTCCTTCTTCACTTGTTTCTTGAAACTCGATGCCGTGCGTCTTCGTACCTTGAATGTAGCGGAAGACGCGCTTGAGTGCTTGCCAGTGTGTGGGACACGGGTCCGCCGCGAACTGGCTAAGAACTCCCACTGCCGCAGCGAGGTCCGGTCGAGTTCCAACCATGAGGTACATCAGGCAGCCGACAGCATTGCGATAAGGCACCTTGGCCATGGTCTCTTCATGGTTGCATCCTCCTTCGCACATGGCCTTGGTCAACTTGAGTCCTGGGTCTTGAGGGGTCTTGACAGGGTTGCTGTTCTCCATGCCAAACTTCTCCAGGATGTCCTTCGCAAACTTGGTCTGACGCACCGACACTTTTCCTGAAGTCGCATCTTGATCGATCTCCATACCGAGGAAGTACTTGAGGCAACCCAAGTCCGTCATGTCGAAGCGTTCACTCAAAGCCTTCTTCGTCGACTTGAGAAGCTCGTCGTTGTTACTGGCGAGGACCAGATCATCGACGTAGAGAGCCACGAAGATCATGTCTTAGTCATCCCACTTGACGTAGATGCAGTGATCGGCTTCACACTTCTTGAACCCCAGCTCCAGCATGAACTTGTCAATGGTCTGGTTCCACATTCGTGGCGACTGCTTAAGAACGTAGATCGAGCGCTTGAGATGGCAGACATGGTCAGGATGTTCTTCATCCGTGTAACCATCCGGTTGCACCATGTAGATATCTTCGTCAAGCAGCCCGTTTAGGAACGCCGTCTTGACATCCATCTGGTGCACCGTCAGATTGTACTTGGCCGCCAGGCTGAGCAGGATCCTGATCGACGTGAACTTGGCGACTGACGCGAAGGTTTCTTCGTAGTCAATGCCGTACTTCTGCGAAAATCCCTTGGCCACGAGTCGTGCCTTGAACCGCTCGATCTCTCCCGCTTGGTTCTCCTTGATGCGAAACACCCAACGACAACCGATTGCCTTTCGACCTTGGGGCAATGGCACCAACGACCATGTCTTGTTCTTGCGAAGAGAGTCGACTTCTGAGTTGCACGCTTCCTTCCACTTGGCCGCGTTGCTGGATTTCATCGCCGACTTGAACGTAGTCGGCATTTCTCCCACTGAATCCACAACGTAGGCCGCTTCGAAATCTTCTTCTCGACCACTTGCGACCGCTGACATCTCCTCCAGCGTCTGCGGCCGACTCTGTCGCTTGCTCCGCGGGATCTCTACCGCTTCCTCCAACGACTGCGTTCGCTGGTGTCGCTTGCTGCCGGACTCAAATTCTTGACGCGGCGCAGTGTCTCCCATCGTCTCATCCTCGGACGATGCTTCTTGATTCGTCACTTCTTCTTCTTGAAGCTCCACGATGTCATATTCATCGTGGCTGCGTCTCTCTCCGTCGAGGACGTCTTCCATGAACTGCGCATCGCGGCTCACTAGCACACGACCGCTCTTGATCTCCTCGAAACGATACGCTTTCTCGTGGTCCGAGTACCCCAGAAACCGACACTTCACTGCTCGAGCGTCCAACTTGGTGCGTTTCTGCTTTGGAACCGTCACATACGCATGGCAACCGAACACCTTCAGGTTCGCCAGCAGTGGTTTCTTACCGGTCCATACTTGGTGCGGTGACTTGTCATGGCTGATGGCACGTGTGGGACACCGGTTACGTAGAAACGCAGCAGTCATTACCGCTTCACCCCAATACGACTTGGCCAAACCAGCATGCTCCAACATGCAGCGCGCACATTCCACCAGCGTCCGGTTCATCCGCTCGGCGACACCGTTTAGTTGAGGCGTGTACGGAGGTGTAAACTTCTGCACGATACCACGACGCTTGCAGAACTAAGCCATCTCGCCCGACGTGTACTCGCCACCGTTGTCACTACGAAGCGTCTTGACGACTTTGCTGGTCTGTGTTTCCGCAAATGCGACATACTCAGCAAACTTGTCGGCCACTTCTGACTTGTTCC